TGATCTTTTTAAAGTATAATACTTGAGAAAATCTTAAGCTTATAGATATAATATAGTAAGTAAAATTATTCTTAATAAAATTTTTTTAAGTGGAGATAATAAAAGAACTAAATTCTAAATTTGGAAGACTTACAATACTTCTGAATTAGATAGGAACTCATATTTTTATCTTTCTTAACACTAAAAATTTCTAAACTTTAAGTTGGTCTCATTTATTGAATATTTTTTATAAATTGGACTACTATATTTCTAATTCTAAATTTTAGTAGCTCTTAAAGAAGCTCATATACATATCATAGATATTTAGTTTCAAAAGATTGAAGAGTTACTTGAGGACAAATAACATTTTAAGTTTTGGGGATTTTGATACGCCTAAAATATATAGTGTTTTTAGACACATTTTTATACCTATTTTTGAGATATTGCGCTAATGGAAGCCATTTTTGTGTTTTTCTTTCAGGTGCAGATAAAAAGGTGAAAAATGCTTAAAGGAGTGAAGAAGGATCAAATTTGGAGCAAATAGGTGAAAAATGTGCAAAAGTGTTTTGGCGTCTAAGCGCCAGATCCGGTGCTTAAGCACCAGTTAAATAGAGAAGGCCGCACCTGAGGGTCAGATGCCCCACGCTTAAGCACCAGTGGCAGTTATTGGATGAGTAAAATCGGTTTTTGCAAATTTTGAAGAGGTTTTTAAGGCACCTATTAGCTTAATAGGTGGTTGTGATGCCAACAATTATTCATACACATATGAATCCTATATGAATGAGTTGGCTTGACGAACAACCATAAGCAACTCTAACTCGAGCTCATTTTCGCATCGAGCTTGGCTCACTTGCACACCAGAGAACTCTAACTCTAGGTTTTGCTGATATGATTCAGCCCAAAAATCAGCATGATTTTCCAAATAAATTAGGGCAAACTCATTTTATTGCAAGAACATCAAATACTCAACTCGAATGTAAAAGATAAATACCTATAATTTGAGAGGTAGGTGATCTATCTCAATTTCTGCAATTTGCATTGGGACTATTTTTTTTTGTTTTGATCACAATCAGCTGACTTGAATTGTGACTTTTCTACGATTAGCACAAGCCGCAATCTTCCCACCCAACTCATGGAAAAATTGGCTCAAATCTCAATACTTCCTAGCAAGCTTGTCTCGTCGTTCTTCACAGGAAATGAAAGATCTACCATTGCCTTCAAAATAAACACGTGAATTTTGGGTCTTATATGCCTATATTTTTAAAATAGAGTGGGAGGAGGATGAAAAAAAAGAAGTTTTGTGTCTTTGTAAGCAGCAATCATGTTGGTAACCTCAACTGTATCGCCTACTAATCAAATGAGGAGAAGGATCGTGTCCACGGCGGCTCTGTATAATAGTCGCGATCCCGTCGTTGTTGCTTTATAACGTCCGTTGTGGCTCTGTAAGCCGCAGTCCTGTCGATGCTCCCCAGCTATCACGACTATAAGGCGGGATTCACGATCCCCTCGTTGCTTCCCAAGGAGCACAAACCACGAGTGATGCTCCTGCTGTACACCGCAGTCCGCAGTCAGCGCAGCGAGGAAAACTGATGGTGGCAATTCCTTCTTCTTAGATCAAAACTCTTTGATACCAATTTGATGAGATTCAACCCAGACATCTGCACTATTTTCCACAGAAATCAGGGCACGCATATTTTACTATAAGAGCATTAAACACTACTCAAATACTAAAGATAAACACCTATAATTCCCGAGGTGGGCGATCTCTCCCAATTACTATAGTTCGAGAGGTATGAAATCTCTTCTAAATGCTAACCTAAGACTCCAGACACAATGTCATGCATTTCTAACCCTAAACCTATTAGGGTATATTTCTACTAAACAATACTAAATAATAAAGGACTAAATTACTCTTAGGTTAATAAAAAATTAAATTGCTCTTAGGCTAAGCCGGCGTAGCATTTTTATATGGTTGAAAAAGGAAGGTAATGTAATACACTTGTTTTGGAGGAGGCTACACTGCGATAATACAAATTTTAAAGTACTTAATCTTAACTTGTCAGAAAAACCTAAGGTGTTATGATTAATTTTTTTGCATTCTGAGAAAAATAATGTATATATTAATATATGCAAGTAAAGATGTACATCATAAACATGTGAGTATTGTTGAATAAACATAATATGTTGCAGACTTCCATCAAGGGAAAACTATGATATCAAGTATTATAAAGGAAATGGATCAACTACATTTGCAATAACTAACCCAGGATTCAACATAAGTCTAAATAAGAAATTTCTACTAAAATATAAATAACAATTATTATTAAATAATTTGTTCCTGTGGTGGCTTTCACAACCCACTTATCTGGCTTGGAAGAAAACTACAATTTGGGTGGTGAGCTAATAATTTAAGAGTTAATCTAGTTGGTAGAAGCTTGCATTTAATGATAAATATCCACGAAAAATATTATCAGAATGTCTGAAATTCATGATATCCAAATTTCTGTTCACAAAAATATAAATAAAATAAATGTAACTTACGTATTATATTAACTCATCTTAAGGAAACATTGGTACCTAATAACTTAAATGATTTATAATATTAGTCTCTTTCTCAATATTCTTGAAACTTCAGTTTATTACGTCTTCTTTTAATGATGCATGCTTAATAACTTGAAATTTATAAAGAAAAAATTACAGGCATCAAGTTTGCAAGAAAATAAATTTACTGTTTGAAACCTATTTGATATGGCATAAGTGACAAGATATAGCGCATGCATATGATCAATAAAAGATGCGTTAGTAACTATGTAGTATTATTTCATATTGTCATTATTATACCAAAACAATCTGAACATTTATGGTAAATATTAATAGATATTAGTGCAATTCGTTGGTGATTATCGTGCAATAGAATTTATAAGAAAAAGAATTTGTAAAATGATGATTAATTCATTAAAAACTAAATATCTATGTGCATTCATACTTTATTTACATATTAGAAATAACTTATTTGTCAGCTATTATTATACCTTTAATGCATGGTCATTTATTTGCAATACTTTGAGCAAGTGATATGCTTTTATCCATTTAATGGAGCTCAATGATTTTAAGAGAGTTGTCACTTTATAGAGTCTTTGACCTGACTAAACTAGTCATTCCAACAAAAGAGGACTATTGACACTCCCATCCCTGGAGTATGCATACATAAATCATATAAAAATTATATCATGTGCAAGCTATGCTAATCAAATCATTATAATCAATATGATTAAAGTCGTATAGATATTGGAGTTTATGATTTATTTTACGCTAATCAAGCAACACACAAACATCACAAAAATTTATGTAGCAATTAACATGACAACTAATCATTCATCGCTTCATAACAATATAAACGTATGAAACGCAATGAATAAATAAATCATATCCTATAATATACATTAACAAAAATATAATTCTATAACAAGTGTCAAGAAAAAAAACCCTTTTCAAGGAAGGGCACATTTTCCCTTAGCAAAAAAAAGAGCCACTTGCTTTAGAGAGATTATAGAAATTTTGTCATATTGAGTATGATTTTGATCTTTCTTTCTTGAACGTATGACACTTGACAATATCTAAATTCAAATGAATCTCGATCAACTTTAAATTCAATGAACACATCAAAGTTTTGACAAAATGCGAAATGAATTTATCTGTGATAGGGTTTGTGTAGCTCCAGTGGCGGACAAGACTAGAGAGAGTCGTCTTTGATGGTGATCATCTGAGGATCCTGCTAGGAGAGTAGATGTTTTAGATTCTACGTATGTTAAGAATGACATAGGTAGACCTAAAAAGACTTTGGCATATTATATAAAAAATGATATTAATCTATTAGAATTAAATGAAAATATGACACTCAATATGACGCAATGGAGGAAAAAGATTCATGGAAAAAGATTCATGTAGCTGTAGCCGACCCAACTTACTGGGATAGAGGCTTGTTGTTGTTGTAATTGCACATCAATGTTCAAATAACCAAAATAAATAATTTAAGCATATTCTTGTAATGAATGATTTTTTTAGGAACATATATAATTAAACTAGAAGATTATTTATGAATATATTCATCTATATTAATCTTTTTATTAATTCACTTATATTAGAATATTTAGCCGGTTCTCTTAAAAATAGCTATAAAATATAAGTTAATCCATTCAAACTCTTATTATCAATGTGCAATCTTGTACTGCTTGCAATTAAATGGATAATCATAAGTTATTGTCCACGATATAACATAACTGTGAATCCTCATTATGACTCATTAGTTGTTTATAACTCAAAATATCATTATTCAAGGGTTCAAATATAAAATGTTTTTTTACTCATGTAGCACATTATATGGCATTATAAAACATGGGTTATAGTAAAATCATAATATGAAATATAACAACCCTAGATTCCTGTGATTTTTAATATCCAAAGTTTGTTTATACGATCAATCCAAAAAAAAGCCTCCTTTCAATATTTTGCTTAAAGATTAGATACAGTGGTTGTTGGTTTAACATCTCAAATTTCCAATTTCTAGTTATTTAGCAATATAAATTTAGTTATTTATTTATAAAATAACTCATAAATCCATGTAGGTGAATGCTAGATTTAGAGCTTAACATTTAAATACCATCTTCTTCTTTTTTTTTATTTTTTTTTAGTAACCTAACTAAATTCCTGCCCATAAACATCACAATATTATTATGAATAAATCTAGGGTTTAGAGTTTACTTAGTTGCTTATAGAATAATGAATAAGATGAAGTCCTACTACAAGTTTCGTAATACCAAGCCCTTGAGCTCACTCTGACCATGAGTTCTGACAGTTCCACTGCTCCCTTAATTTTCTCTTCGGTTTACTTAAACAGTGTATCCTGCTTGATGTTGCTGTTTCTTCGATTGAATTATATTTTTAAATAAAACGGTTTAACTAGTGAATTTATAGGAATTCACATTTCAACCCTATAATAACATTTTTGTTCTCTCAATTAGGCACTTAAAGGTTCCAATAAGGCGCAAATTTTGACGGAAAGGATCGATGCAGCAAAACGTTGGCTTAAGGATCAATATTCTCCAGAAAGAACTTGGTCTTATGGAGGAAATTCCATTGGAAATCAGCTAAATGGTGACATCATAGGAGACAGTAAGCTTCCTATTTGTCTTGCTGCACAAAAAGCAGTCCCTCGATATGAAGGATTTCTATCAGTAGTCGGACCACGGAGAAGATTAATCAAGAAACTTCTTACTTGGGTTGGATTGGTTCCTTCAACGCCAGAAGTATCAGTTGATTTTGATAGAGGTACCCAATCTTCAGAAACAGATTTTAGGTTTGTACTTGTGAAGCCAGGATTATTTTATTGTGTATATTTTAAATAATAACAATTTTAGTTATCTATTCATTTAGATGATTCTGTTGTTATTGAACATAAGCTGATTGGAGAGTGAAATGACTGTTTCTGTGATCTTTTTATAGAGTTTTTAGATTACCCTTCCTTCATATTTTCTCTCCATTCTTATCACATAGGCAGATTTCATTCTCATCTGTCATTTTTAAGGTTAATATTTCTTTTGTTTATTAGTGCCTATGTATGACTTCTTGATGAAATTGATCTCTAGCTCCCTCTGGAAACTTCTATTCAGAGGTATTGAGGGAAGTTAATCGAGTTTTTCTTTTCATAGAAGTAATCTTTCATTGGATCAACTATTTAAATTAACTTCATAATACCCATAAGAACTAAGATTTCTTCAAAGCTGTCATTTGCCGTTGTACACATCTCATTAAGCCAATGATGAAGCATTTATTGCTGCCAAAATAGTATTGATTCTCTCTGCGGTTTTGGGCTTCACTATTGTGATGAAATTACAAATAAAGAAAAGTTAGAGTAAAGTGATGATGATTGTGAAGCTTTCTTGCATATATGAAGCTCTACTTTATAATTTTCTAAATTTTTTTTCTTAAGATTCTATGGAAGTTATTTTTTGATTTGCAATTTAATTCCGCAAAGGTGGCTGATAAATGAATCATTTATTTGTATTAGCATCATTTTTCAAGGATTACCAAAACATGCTATCACTCAAGTTGAATTGGCCTCTTAGTTTCTAAGAATTTTCTGCGCAGTAACTGTTGGATAAAGAATTATTTGAAGGGAAAGA